GTTAGCAAAGGCATACAGAGCTTTTGGTAAACTCCGTAAAAGAGTGTGGCAAAACAAACACCTGAAGAAAAGTACTAAGATCAGTGTTTACAGAGCCATCGTGCTGTCTACTCTTCTATATGGTTCTGAATCGTGGGTCATTTACCGGCACCACTTGCGTCTCTTAGAACGCTTCCATCAGCGCTGCCTCCGTACAATCCTCAACATCCACTGGACTGACTATGTGACCAACACGTCTGTCCTTGAGCAGGCAGCAGTCACGAGCATTGAGGCCATGCTGCTGAGAACACAGCTGTGCTGGGCAGGGCACGTCTCCAGGATGCAGGACCATCACCTCCCTAAGATCGAGCTTTATGGGGAACTTGCCACTGGCTGCCGCAAGAGAGGAGGCCCGAAGAGGAGATACAAGGACTGCCTGAAACAATCCCTCAGCCTTGGCAATATTGACCACCACCATTGGTCTACCCTGGCCTCCAGTCGGGAGCTCTGGAGACACACCATCTATAACGCTGCTGCTGCTTTTGAGAACACACGCAGGATCACTCTCGAGGAGAAAAGACAACGCAGAAAGAATCGCGTCTTGTCGATACCACCTGGGGAGTCTTTCTGCTGTACGTTCTGCAACCGGACTTGTCTCTCTCGCATTGGCCTTTTTAGCCATCAGCGCGCTTGTAGCAAGCGGGGGTAGAGCCCCTCTCAAATCTTCGTTCGCGAAGCCTAGCCATGATAATCAATGGAGTGTATATACTTCACCAAACCTTTATTAAATTAATAAATTAATAATAAGGTGGGGTGTGTGACCTTCACACTTTTTATAACTCCCTGACAGGAGGGTGGAACCGAGGGGGCCAGTCAGGCTCTACTCCCAGGGAACAAGGGACAGGGCAAGAGGAAAGACCCGCAAGTTGTGCGGGGGTAGGTTTAGGTTGGATATTTGGGAAAAATTCTCCCTGGAAAGGGCGGTCAGGCACTGGAAAGGGCTGGCCGGGAGGTGGTGGAGTCCCCATCCCTGGAGGTGTCCGAGGAAGGACTGGACGTGTCACTCAGTGCTCTGGGCTGGGGGACAAGGTGGGCATCGGGCACGGGGTGGACTCGGTGATCTTTGAGATCTTTTCCAGCCTCAGTGGCTCTGCGATCCCGCGAAGGCTGTAACACTGCTCCACGCTCCTTAACCTCGCGCTGGAAATCAATCAATCAATCAATCAGTCAATCAATCAATCAATCGCTGACAGTCCAGCAAATCGCAGCCCAGCTGTTAAGAGCACCTTAAACAGAAAACAGCTTGGAAGTTTCAGAACAAAACAACTCCCCCTCCACC